CTTCCAACAGCGGCCAATGCCAGTGCCCCAGAGGGTATGAACACAACAGGCAATCATCAAATGATCCATCCCCTGTTGCTCATTCCCAGCTTCTGACAAACAGGCTAGGGATACTATTCCTATCCATCCTGGCTATTAGCCATTCAGGGATCTATCCTCCATTAATTTATCTAGCTCTGTTTTGAACCCTGTTATAGTCTTGGCCTTCACAACATCCTCTGGCAAGGAGTTCTACAGGTTGACTGTGCATTGTGTGAAGAAATACTCCTTGGTGTTTGTTTTGTCGAAGTTCATGATATATTACATGATCAGCCACAATGTGTTCACAACACTGACCACAACAGTAGAAAGCAGTGCAGAAGCCAAGCTTTCAGGCAGAGATGGCAGGCAGAGTAAAGAGGAGTAGTTAAAAATGGCCCAAAATGTAGTCAGAAGACCATGGAATGATGAGATGGAAAAGACTGCATCGTGAACATTGAGCCCTCAGCCATAATGCATTGTGATCCTCTCTGCCTTCTCACATCTCCTAGCAGCAGAAGGGGATGAAGTGTACAGTGAAATAGCTGCCCGTAGCACACTGCTCTCACCGTCAATGCCAGAGGACCAACTATTAATGCGCTCCACCAACAGAAGGGGCATTATAAACATTGACAAGAGATGTAATGATAGCAGTATATAATCGCTGGTGTTACTTGCATTAACTTAACTCTGTAATGTACATGTAGCCTCAGATATAATCTGTCCACTAGATGTCATGCCGCTGCTACAAAATGGATGCTGTAATCTATAATGAAGATCACAGTCACCAATGGCAAGCCTAAAACAATAAGGAATAATCTGACACAGGCATATCCTCAAATGTTCAGTGTCCACCTCATTCTTGTCCTTCCCCAGAAGCTCAACTTCCCCTTTCAACTTTCACACATGTTGCTCAGGCTGGAGATGGGGATTTCCACTGCTAGTTGTGAGAGACCAAGCTGTAATACCCCCATGGCAGAGTTCAGTCTCACAGGAAATTTGAAGTCTGGGCCTGCAGACTGCCGTTTGATCATGCAGCCATGTACATAGTATACCCTGGCAGCCCAGTGCATTTGGGGCTGCCATAGGAAGGATGGAAAATGAATGACCTTCAAGGTTCCCTCCTTTGCTTTACCTGCAGCAGGAGAACATTTACAGTGAGGAAGAGTGGATCTGGGGTCGTGCAACTTTCCCAGCTCCAATTTTCCTTTTCTGTACTCTGTTTAGGAGGCACAAAGCTCAGATTCTTCCTGCTCTACACATAAGAATGCTGGGCCAAAACAATGTTCCATCTATTCCAGTGTCATGTCTTCAGACCATGGCCTATGTCAGGTACTTCAGAAGGAATGAACAGAACAGGCAATTATTGAGTAATCCATCCCTTGTTGTCCCACCTTATGGCAATCAGAGTCTAGGGATACTCAAGAATATGAGGTTGCATCCCTGACCACCCTGACTAATAGCCATTTGGGGACCTATCCTCCATGAATTTATCTAGTGGTTTGGGGTTGGGGGGGGGGGGTGTTTTGTTTTTTTGTTAATCCGGTTTTAGTGTTGGCCTTCATGGCATCCCTGGCAATGAGTTCTACAGGTTGACTGCACTGTGTGATGAAGTAGTTCTTATGTTTGTTTTAAATCTGTCGCCTATTGATTTCATTTGGTGACCCCTCCTTGTGTTATGTGAAGCAGCAAAAAACATTTTAAATCACTTTCTCCACACCAGTTATGATTTTATACATCTATCATATCCCCCCTTAGTTGTCTTTTTCAAGATGAAAAATCCCAGTCTTTTTAATCTTCTCATACAGATGCTGTTCCATATCATTAATCACTTTTGTTGCCCTTCTCTGTACTTTTCCCAATTCTAGTATTTTAGTATGTGTGTGTGTGTGTGTGTGTGTGTGTGTGTGTGTGTGTGTGTGTGTGTGTGTATTTTAGATGGAGCAACCAGAACCTCATGCAGCATTTGAGGCATGTGCATAGCAAGGATTTATATAGAAGTATTATGATATTTTCCTTTCTTACTATCTATCCCTTTCCTAATATTCCTTTAGCTTTTCTGACTGGATGTTTTCAGAGATGATAAAGTTTCATAAGGATCACTTGGCACAGTCATGTACTTAAATATTCAAATGACATCAATAGCATCTTTAAAAAACTGGGTGCAAACCAGAGGTCAACTTTTGAACATTTAAACCACTCTATGTAAAGAATATTTGCTAAGGTTGTGGTGAGAACTATGGATCAGATCTTGAGTTAAAATCAGCATAGGTTCAATGGAGCTGTGCTAATTTACACCAGCCTAGGATTGGCACCACTATAACATAAATGTATCCATCTTTTGTGTATACGAAAGATCATCCATAGTATTGCAACTATATAATTTTTAAAATTTCATTTCCTTGGTGTTGCATTACCATTTCTAAGTACAGTAGACATCCTATAATCCAGCACCTTTGGGACGTAGGTGGTGCCGGATTATCGGATATTCCGGAGTATCAGGAGGTACTGCATACTCCCAACCCAATTCCCCTTCTTCCCCCCCAACCTTATGCTTGGGTCCTAGAGCCGCCGGTACAGTCACGCGTCTCCCTCCAGGAACTGGGGCACATGCGCTGAGCGGCTGGCTTTTCAATGAGTTGGCCGGGACGCCGTGAGTAACCCAGTCCCCCTCCCCCTCCTCCTTCTCCGGAGCCAAACACTTCTCCTCCCTGCTGTAACCCACGTGCGAGCGGCTGACCTGAGCGGTTCCGGGTTCTGCCCTGGTTCCACCAGGAGCGCTTTCCATTTTGATGCTGGACTATCGGGAGTGCCGGACAATTGGGTGCCAGACTATTGGAGTTTTACTATATTTGCATCTTAAGTGAACACTGTAAAGTGTTATTAGAGGAGCTGGTAGCAGGCCCTAAGGTTAGGCTGCATAACATTTTCCATTATAAAAGATTCTTTTGATCTTTTCTTTGAGAAATTCACACCTCCATTGTGTGCAGAAGGCATTTGATATTTGATAGGTGGAATGTCTCTTTTTTTTGGCTCCATGAGATCTAGTGATGATTTGGCTGAGCTATGAAATGTTTAAAAAAAAATCCATTCCCTCACTTGTGTTCCTCAGGAAAATTTGGACAGCCTGACAAAACCGCTGAACATTTGAGATAAGTCTCATGCTGCTGCTGGAATGGGACTGAGGTGAGAAAGCTAGGCTGAGTGTCCCACATAAATCTCCAACCCTAGCATATGCTCCCAGTGGCCCATTCACATGCATAAACATACTCCAAGGCAACCCATGGGGTAGAACTTCCTCAACATCCAGCTGTAGAGAGGGAAGAGAAAAAGAGATAGGGCCTAGGCTCCTCTCAACCACTCCTTGGTACCAATAGCCAGTCTCGCCCTCTGGGGGTGACACATGGGCAGGGGCTGCCCAGTTCCTGGAGGATGGGGGGTGGGGTGACAGAAAGGCCAGGCTGGGTTTTCCCCGGAGCAACACTTGGGCTAAGTACCTGGACCAACAAATCCATCATTCTCCCCTCTGTAAAGAGAGCCGCCTTCTGCTGCTAACTAATGTTGTTAGTCACATAGTTCAGGTAGTGGCAGTCTGTGCTACACTGTTGAAGGTCCGTGGATCTAACCCTTTCGTTTAACTCATAAGAGGGCAAGGGGACTGTTACAGATGCACACAGTAGAATCTGTTTGTTACCTTTTTTTTTAAAACAAAAAAAATCACCATAACACCTCAAACCCTAGGAAACAATATTAAAGCAAACTATATTAAATTATATTATAGTTGCAAACTTCATTCTGTCCTCCTCTGTGCCCATGGTACAATCATTCAGCACACAGATGAGTGATGAGAAGGCAGGCCTGATATCAGGGCACTCTATTTACAAGTTATTTTTTGTTGTTAGAAACCAACCGTCTCCAGGAGCAGCCCTAGACTAGCTGCCAGCGACTGGCGCCCTAGGCGAACCATGCAATCGGCGCCCCCACTCCAAACCCCTCAATGATATTGTGCCACCATTTGACGCCCCATTGAACTTGGAGCCCTACGTGACCGCCTAGTTCACCTATATGGATGGGCCGCCCCTGACCGTCTCTTCCTCTTCCCTCTGCCACAGTTCAGAGGTATAATTTTGTAACATTTTTTAATGTTTCTCATTGCTTGCGAGATGCTAGTAATATCCATTTTCTCTCTAAAGTTTTTGTCTCCATTCTGTTGCAAATTATAGGAAATGACTTGTGGGTATTGTTTTACAAACTAATCCCCTTGTCACCCCACACCTTTCAAAAATTACATGTGAATGAACTTTGAAAACTATTAAACAAGACACAGTGCAGGTTACATACTTGGCTCACTAACTCTGAGAAGGGGAAGGTGGGCAGGATTTGTTCCCTTATTTTTACATGTACATTAATTCCTTCATTTATGCACTAAAACTGAAAAATGTCAAGTAGAAGAGGAAGCTGACCCAGCACAAAACTTTGTCAATTCATAAACTTCCAAGGTGATTCTTATTATCAGTGCAGGAATTAGACTAGTGAGTGATATGTAGGTGTCAGGGACTTCAGTAATTTACAAAGACTGAAAAATTAGATTGAGAGAATAACCAAATGACATTTCTGATGCAAGAAAGCTGAACAAGAAACAGAGTGAATAGTTATCTAAGACCAGAGTATGGTCAACCATCCGGTGGAAGGATACCTAATACTAATAGAACTTGTGATGTACTTGGTATCACATAAAATAAACACACTCGATTTTCCTTCAGATTTTATAAACCAAAGAGCATAGTGGAAAGTATACTCAGAACACATAATTAGGTCTTTGGGCCAGTTTGTAACCTGTGATTACAAATGCCTAAAAGAAGATACGTGAAAAATGTAGGACACCAATTACTGTATTGGACTTATCTTGTTTCTCTTTTAAAGAGTTTTGTCCCAGAGGCAGACACACTTAATTTAAATTCAAATAGAAATTCCATACATACTCACTGCTCAGGAATATATTGCTCTTTCCACAAGAACATGAGGAAAGATATGACTCAGCACTTTTCCCCAGAGTTCCTCAGTCCTTTGAGTGCCGGCTTTATAGGAGTAGGACAGCAAGACTGCTAACTGCTTCAGTAACGGGGCCATTCAGTTATACAGGGTAGGAAAGAAGCTGTGTCGTCAGCTGCAGAAGTTTCGCTTTCAGAGGGAAACAATCCAACAAGTCAAATTAATCATTATCGTAAGCAGAAACAACACCACTGACTTCAAGGGAGTTTGGCTTGCATATGCTAGCAGTGGATTTGATCCTGAATAATGTCAATTTAAAATTACCTAAATTTGAAGTGCTAGCTGAAAGTCACATTAGTCATAAATTGACCAGAAGAATGATTCAGGATTGATTGTTTCAACCAAACATTTTTAATATTGTGCCAGTTTTTGAGCATTTTAAAGCACATTGTCTGAAAAGGTTGCTTGCCAGATTATTTTTTTTCTTTCCAGTTTTGGTAATAAAAAGGGGACTTGGAGATTTTATATTATTTATTTATTCTTATTTTAAATGCTTGAATTTGCTTTGATCATGTCCAGTAATTTTTCTGCTAATTGCACATCTGCTGTACACTAGGGAAACCAAAAAAGCAATATAACGGTCTGTGGCTGTTAAGTAAGAATGCTGCTGTCTCATGGAAGCTAATCCCATTCAATGGAGGCCTCAAGCCTATACAATTAATTTCTTCACAGGGTGCTTTCTTCCATTCTCTATTCAGAAGAAAAACTAATTAAAAATCTTCATCGATCACTTGGGTTTATAGGTGACTACATGAAAGTGCTGTATCAAGCACTGAGAAGCTTAAATCCATATAATTTTGTGAGCCTCACTCAAGTACACACATTGAATTTTAAAAAGTCGCAAAACCAAACTCATGCTACAGCCAAATCAAAATAATGTTAAGGATGCTGGACAAAAGCAAAGATATTTAGCATTGGAACTCTGTGACAACTATCTCTCACCTTATTCATAGGTGTTATAGGGAAGTCAGAACTATGTGCTGCAATTCACAACTCATGTGCTGCAATCAGTAGGTAAGCATGAGAGCAAGGATAGACTGCTGTGAAGACACGGGATAGCTATTTCAGGATACTCTAGTATCCCAAAATAACATTGCAGGATAGGTGTATCCAAACAGAGCACAGATAGAACCCTTCAGACATATGAATGACACAAGAGCCACGTTTGACATTTAAAGCTCTGAAAAGGCTCAAAAAGGACAGATTGGGCATCACTGCTTTGTATTACATAAGAACATAAGAACGGCCATACTGGGTCAGACCAAAGGTCCATCTAGCCCGGTAGCCTGTCTACCGACAGTGGCCAACACCAGGTGCCCCAGAGAGGGTGGACCAAAGACAATGATCAAGCGATTTGTCTCCTGCCATCCTTCTCCAGCCTCTGACAAACAGAGGCCAGGGACACCATTTCTATCCCCTGGCTAATAGCCTGATATGGACCTAACCTCCATGAAATTATCTAGCTTCTCTTTAAACTCTGTTA